GAGAGAGAGAGAGAGAGAGAGAGAGAGAGAGAAAAAGAGAGAGAGGAAACTTATGCCAAAAGTTCAATTCATCACGTAGACAATAACATTAAATTCACAAAAGATTCGAGAAATAACATTAAAATAATAAAATAGTAAAATGGCACAATCTCTTACTTATAATATTTAAGATACAACATTAATTTCATAGTTGAGAAGTTTTTAAATAATGATAACATTAATATGATAAAATGATACAATTTGCTACATACTTGAATTATTTTAGAAATAACATTAAATTCGTAATCGAGATATTTTTAAATAAGATTAATATTAAAATGATGAAATAGTACATGATGAAATAAAAACTTTTACGTGCTTACTTATAATACTTTAAGACAACATCTATCATGAAATCGAGAAATTCTTAAATAAGCATTAAATTAATAAAATTATATTATACAATCTCCTACATGTTTGTAATACTTTATAAGTAATATTGATACATTATTTACTAAAGATTCAAGTTTAGACCAAACATATGCTCAGATAACATATTGTAAACATAATTTGTTGAAATAATTAACATATCTACACGGCGGTACTCGTACTTTTCTTTTCTTTTGGTATTTAAAAATTTTTGTATGCTTTCTTCTACATGTTTACGAATATTACAAAATTTAATGTAACATTATTTATTTTCGCACGACATACATTTGTTCGAATATTCGGTAATTTTGTCACAGCCCTTATAATTTTTAATAACATGGACATTATGTTTATTTCTTTCGCATTTTCTAATATATCCAAACTTTCACTTTTTACATAATTCTTTAAAATTATTTCATAAAGTCATATAAAATGTAGATGTCCAAACTCTTCAAAACGTATTTACACAAGCATTGTAAAAAGGAACTAAAGGAATATACATTTCGTACATGGATTTCGAAAAATACTATCTTCTTATGCACAAAAAAACAATACTTTTATGTCCAGCTGCGAAATACGTATTTCTCCAGTTTCTTCTTAACATGGTCGTGTTAGTGATTTGCTAAGAATTCTGACGTCTACTTTTTTCATGAAAATACTGCACATAAAAATAATATTTTATGTACTATGTTAAATTGCAAAATATATAATCAAACGGTTTCTTTTTCAAATATTGAGTGACGTAAACATTGTATCTGTTTTAAACTACAGAATGTGATTTGGCAAAATTTACATCAATATTTGTAACATGTATTTCGGACAAGTACTAATTATCTGAGTTTTGTTATTCTTATTATATATGTACTGAGTACGTCACTCAAAGATTCACTATACAAAAAATTTGTTACATTCATGAAATCGGTTTAATTTTTGTAAATGTATAAACATAGTACTTTATTTTAAAGCATGATTTAAAGAATATTATGTTTTAAAAGAATAACTATAATTTATAAGTTTATAAATATATAGGATTCTGTTAAATTGTAAATAAATAAATATATACAATTAAAGTTATACATTTTATACAAACTTTATACATTTATAAACACAAAACTGATATGCGACAACTAAGTCAAATTATACGCTAATGTCTTCATGTATTTGAAATCACTTAGGTCAAAGTCAAGACTGTCGTTATCGCTGGTCATGAGATGCTACTTAAAAATGCCGCTACCATCATTTCCATTGTCAAATGTAGATAAATCTATATAAACATCTATAATATAAAATCTATATAAACATCTGTATATAAAAAACAAATATTAATTATTTGACTTTTTAATCACAGTTTGATTGAGTACACTACTGAAAGAATAAAATGTAATGATAAATATTACTAAACAATAGTAATTAATAACATATGATTAAAACTCACGATCGTTTTTCTTTTAACTTGCGTAGCTTGTCGACGGTCTAGCTTCATCGTGTGCTGTCCCTTGTTCCAAATCTTGTTGTTCTATTTGTTCTCCTTGTTCTATTGTTTCCCATTTCTCTCGATGTTCAAATGACATGTGGTTTTTTAAAGTATCGAAGTCATAATCAAAGTTTATATTTTGTCCACATATCGTACAATATGCATTACTTCCATCTCGTCCCGCGTATTTAAATACCCAATGTTGAGAATAGGGTTTTATGTCTTGTGAACAACGATGATCAACCATGATATCTTGTTGATGACATATCACGCATTCTATACTTCGACTTATTTCCATGTCATATGTGTGCCTCAAACATTTCCACTCATCTGAAAAATAGTGGCAAATATCTTTTTCTATTTCTTCCTTATCGAAAATATCATAATGTGAGTCGTGCATATGTTTCTCAAACTGATCCTTCTTCAAATATACTTCTTTGAATTCGCAAACTGTACATTCTGCTCGAAAATCCCCAGCATCTATATAACATTTTTGCAACCAGCTGTTCTTTGCAGTTTGAAATGTCCAAAATTTTTTGTCTTGTTTTATTTTATCGTAATTTTCTGAATGTTTATCTGACATATGTGTTTCTAAATGAGTTATGTCGGCAATAATGTTCATACCTGCATCACAAATCGTACATTTCAAAAAATCTTCTTCTTCTCTTGCGTATTTAAATGCCCAATCGTCAAATTTACAGGGTATTAGTTCTTGTAGAAAATGAGTTTTTGCGTGATTTTCCATTTGGTCATTTGACAGAGTCTCTTTACATATCATACATTCTATTTCGTCTATTGCTTCATTTTTCGTAAACCTAAAATATGACCAGTTATTGCCAAGTTTCGTGCCAATTTGATCAATCTCTTCAGCTTTGTAAGTAAATTTATGCTCCTGTATGTGTGTTTTAAGCACAATAGCCGGGACACATATAAAGTTGAGTTTGCAAAATCGACATTCTGCTCGAAAATTCACAGACTTTGCGTAACATTTGTTCAAAAAGTAGTTGTTTTCAATTAAATATGTCCACTCTTCTGTTAATTTTGTTTGCTCGTTTTCATGTACCTTCATGTGTTCTTTCATTTTTCGAGTGATTATAAAAAGATTAAATTTTTTGTTTTTATTTGGACACAGCTTACATTCAGCAGAAAAATCTCCAACTTGGTTTAAGTATTTCCAATACCAATGTCTTTTTCTGTCTATATATTGTCCTTTTTTTGCATGCTCTTTTATGTGTTTGATTAATATCTCGTATACTGGAAATTCAGTTATGGGTATATTACATAAAATACATATTATGGCGTTTTCTTCTGTTAGCATAAAATATTTCCACTTGTTGCTGATCTTGTTGGCCTCTTCATAATTATAAATATTTGGATGTGTTTCATTTACGTGATCCTTAAATTTAGTTAGATCGTATACGTATGTATAAGGCTTTCGACAAGATCGATCTCGACACCGTGCATAAAAGTTTTTCTCTTTTGTAAAATATGCCGTTATCCACTCTTGCGATTTAGTTCGTTCTTCCCAACTCATTGTGATCTGATCTGTATGACTGAACGTATTTAACTGAACACGATGCGAAGATTATTTCGTTGAAAAGTGTCTGATAGAGGAGATCGAGGAAAGAGAGTTTTTTTGCTTGAATGTAAATATTGACAGCGTTCAAACCTAGCTAACAGTTACCAAGAGAGGTGGTAGGATGTGATGCGAAATATGTCTAGTAAACGATTTCGGGGGAGCAAGAGCGCGATAGAGCGTGCGATAGAGTGTGAGAAGGCGGAAGGAGGGCGGGAGGGAGAGAGAGCGAGAACATTGATATGGTGGAGAGAGAAAGAGGGGCAAAGAGAAGCATTACAGTGCGTTCGTTACGCAGATAAATAATGTTTTGAGAAATAATGTACAAGAAATTAATGGAGATTATGGTTAGTATAATTAATACTATGATCTATATCATTGACTACATCGGTGAAATATGAGCATTTTTTAAATTTATTGATATATAAAATATAATATTGCAATTGAGATACATTCTCATTGCAAAAATATAAATACTTACATGCTTATTTCTTCATATTATTTATATTTTAGATACACCATCGTTATCGTCATTTCTTTCATTCTCATAGCGCAATATACTCCAAATTATTGATTTGATTTTCATATTTTAACATTTTTATATTCTAACATGCTGTTGCTAATTACTTCATGATTACAGTTTTCAACGTCTTATATTTAAACACTT